AATTGGTGTAAAATTTCGACACCACGTTGCTTGCTTTTTCTTGGCGTTGATGAGCCGCGACGCGAAGGTCGGAAAATAGAGAGGTCGGGGGAGGGGGGAGTTTGGGTTGCTTCACGCTGTTGGAGTGCATTTGGCCATCAAATAACATCGGCAGCGCCTATAACCGGCTTACGTCCCGACATAAAGTCGGCTTGGCCTTCTCCTACTTGCACGGTCCTTCCTCGCCACATCTCGAACCACTAACTCGTGATCAGGCCATCGCCCATACCACCACCCTCCGTATCAAGAGTTGCGGCTCTTGGAGGGCTTAAGCTCGCGATATCAGTTGATTGGGTCTAGAAAGTATCGTCGGGAAAGAGGATTCGTTTCGCTCACCGATTCCCTCTCCGTCCTTTCATCTATCCAGGAGAGAGAGAGAGCGTGAGATTTTCTTTTAAAAAAAGATCTTTCTTTTAAAAAAAGATCTTTCTTTTAAAAAAAGATCTTTCTTTTAAAAAAAGAAATCGGTCGATTTCGTTAGACAGTCGAACCACTTACGAATAAATTTTTCGCGCGTTCCCTTTCCGCGGTATTCGATCGGAAACGGACGCCTTCCATCCCCATTATCGGCCTTCCCCGAATGCTTCCAATTAAACTTTCCTCCGCCGTTCTCCGGGCCCGAACGATATTTTTCCGGATTACCGAAGATACGTTTCGGCCGCTATCTACATGGGCGGATTGGACGTGGAAGGGGCCAATAACTTGCCAATATCGGCATTACTGGCGCACTGAGCGCAATATAAACGTTTATGGCCCAATGCGCGCCCATCCGAACCCCTGTCCATTCGATCCACTGTTTTTCCAACAGTGGCTCTCAACTTTTTACACATGTACACATATATAACTCTTTTATATATTTACAAGTCGGCCTTCATAGCCGCGCTATTTTCATCGATCGTCGTTCGAAACCTTTCTTTGAACGCGCGCGTTTGCCACGTCTGAAACGTTTCCCTGTACACCCTATATAATATATATATAGAATGAGAGCTACTGGTCAAGAAGGAAAGACGAGAGCGAGCATCGGTAGCCAATGTGGCTGCGATACGAATACCGTCTCTCTGACCCGTTCCTCGACATCCCCCTCCCCCTTGTCGACCACGACTACGTAGCCTCTCCTCTGTCCCCGTTGCCCTTTCGCGGTCGCCGTGTGTAAGGGCGCGCCACCGCCCGGGACACTTAATGTTTCTCTATCTGTAGTGGTCAGGGCGAGACAATCTGGTATATTGTTATATACGACATTGCGAGGGAGGGAGGGAGGGAGGGAGAGAGAGAGAGATATCACCAATTACCAAGCCCGAGCCGAGAGTTATTGAAAAGATCTTCCCACAGGAGAGACCTTGCTGGAAATCGCGCTTTCCTACGGCTAATGAACACCGATTACGCTTCCCTTCGCCATTTATCTCTCCTCGCGACAACATTCCTCCTTTCTTTCCTTCCTTCTGGAGCAAATATTTCGTCCCAATTGTTTGCTTACACGCGATTTATATACGATAAAAAGGGAATATTATCGATAAGCTCGGCTCGCGCGTTAATTATTCCCTCCTTTGGATCGCGCACCACCCCAGCGTCGCCATCAATTTCGCCACTTTCGCCCGGCAACAAGGTGTCCTCCCGCTTCCCCTCCTGCTTGGCGGAGGATCCAAAAGACTTCTCTCCGCCTTCCGTGGAAATGGTAATGCCTCGCTTTTACGATCATCATATTTATAAATGAGAGGCCGGATGTGGAAGCCCCTGCCTCGACCCCGATGAAAGGAGCCCTGTTAATTGGGAATACTGATGGCAGCAACGGCGAACGCGGGAGAGCATCGTCGTCGTCGGATCGATGCCGCCCCGATGTCTTTCAACCCTCCTTCCCTCTTTTCGTCTATCCTCGACGACGGCGGCGGCGGCGGTGGTGGTGGTGGTGGTGCCTCGGTTTCATCTTCTCTCGGCCACCCACGCAAGATCATGGCGCCGGATAAGACCCGTGGGACGCTGTCAAAGGGAGCTTATATTTATGAGACTTTCGGCAAACAAATGGATAAATCTAATATCACGGAAGCGGAACGAGCAAGCTCCTTGAGAACGTCCCACCGTCTTCCGCCGCGGATTCTCCGCTTTCTAACGCCGGCTTGACAACGGCAAACTTTCGGATTAACGAGTTTCGCGTCAATGGATAAGATATCGATTATAATTTTCCCAACGGGGATTATATCGAGGTAAGTCGATTCTTTTATCCGTAGTTGGATCGAGTTTGAGGTCGGATAACCTTAACCAGAGATTTCCAAGTTTTGGTCGTCGAGAAATTCTTCCAATACTTTAAAAACATAAATGAATCGATATGGTAGACGGCTTTCAATTAATTTCGATTAATTTTAATTTTTGTGCAGCAATGTTTTTTAATGGAATATTTTTGTTTTTCCCAACCAGAGATTTCCAAGTTTTGGTCGTCGAGAAATTCTTCCAATACTTTGAAAACATAAATAAAAATGAATCGATATGATGGACGGTTTTCGATATTTCGATTAATTTTAATTTTTGTGCAGCAATGTTTTTTAATCGATTTCTTGACAATGGAATATTTTTGTTTTTCCCAACCAGAGATTCGCGCGTTCCAAGTTTTCGTCGTCGAGAAATTCTTCCAATACTTTGAAAACATAAATAAAAATGAATCGATATGATGGACGGTTTTCGATATTTCGATTAATTTTAATTTTTGTGCGGCAATGTTTTTTAATGGAATATTTTTGTTTTTCCCAACCAGAGATTCCAATTCACGCGTTCCAAGTTTTTATCGTAAAGAAATTCTTCCAATACTTTAAAAATGAAATAAAAATGTAAATAAAAATGAATCGATATGGTGGACGGCTTTCAATTAATTTCGATTAATTTTAATTTTTGTACAGCAATGTTTCTCGATATTTCTTGGCAGAGGGATACTGCTGTTTTTTTCTCCAAGCACCCAAATATTTAAGGATTAAGTTTGAGATCGGATAACAATTCTCTTTTCCAGAGATTCCAATTCACGCGTTCCAAGTTTTTATCGTCAAGAAATTCTTCCAATATTTTATTTTATATTTAAAAACGTAACAAAAGAGAATCGATATGGTCGGCTTTCAATTAATTTCAATTAATTTTAATTTTTGTACAGCGATGTTTCTTAATCCTTTGGCAGTGGGATGCTGCTGTTTTTCCCAACCAGAGATTCCAAATCACGCGTTCCAAGTTTTTATCGTAAAGAAATTCTTCCAATTACTTAAAACGTAAACAAAAGTGAATCGATAATTCAATTAATTTCGATTAATTTTAATTTTTGTTTCTCTATAGCAATGTTTCTCGATATTTGTTGGCAGAGGAATGCTGCCGTTTTTCCCCGAGCACCCAAATATACGTGATTGGAGATACGCCCAGCTCCAATTTGGCTTCCGATTTGTCTTCGTTTAACGCGTTGATTGCCACGTCACCCGTTCGACGAAGGATCTTTGTAAATATTTGGAAAGATGTTCCACAGGAATGTTACAAAAGTGATATAAAAACTTTAATTTTATTAAAAAGATTACTTAGAATTACTTGGAAAACTCCTCCACTTTTCTTTTTTCGAAATTTTAACGAAACTTCTTACTCGAGTTTAAACATTCGAATTGTTCGTATTACAGTTCAGCTATGGAAACAAATGATGAGACTGTTCTTGCGTTACGTTGGATTTCAGCCTCTTCTTATTTCCTTAGTTGATCATTCGGTCCGAAATTGAACAATTTCACTTGTTGGAATACAATCGTATTTCATCTCGACTATTCCAGCTCGTTCGTTTTCACGGTCAAGGGGGCTGCTGAAAAAAAGAGCATATATAGTGGGAAGGGAGGGTGCCGTTTCGTGCCGCCATTAAAGACGCTATAAAAGAACGAATCTCGATGGCAGGCGAAATTTGTCGGTATTAAATGAATAACCCATAAAAGTGGGTGGAAACGCTGTTATTTTCCACGCACTTATATCCCTCTTAACTCTATATCGATAGAGTTTCTTGTCTTTCTTGTCTTCGCAACGAAAAGATTATCAACCGACTATAATATTATAGAAAACGGTGGTAAAAAATTTCTCGATCACGCCTACCCTTTCCTATCCTCCATCTTGGAATTCCATATCTTGGAATTCCATATCTTGGAATTCCATATCTTGGAATTCTTGTTGCTCGATTTTCGAGAAACTCGAACAGATTCGCGCATGGAAGCTCGACGGCCGCATTCAAAGTTGGAGAAGAAAGACCACCAATGGCGGCGCAAACGAGAGAGAGAGAGAGAGAGAGAGCGAAAAGGACAAGGGGTCGATTGTGAAAGACACTGCGTATAATAATAATAATAATAATAACAAGGCCTGTTCGAGACGTCTCCTGGCGGACAGTGGGCCGACTTGTGGCCGCGACGCGCGATGCCGAGATTTCGTGGACTATTAGCAGCTCCCTTTCTCGATCGGCTGCGTTTAACGAGGCGAACGACTTTCGCGGCCCGCTTTCAAGATATTTCGAGACCTCCCTCCCTCCCTGGCGAATGAATGGAACGGAACGGTTGTAATAATTATCGATTTTTCGGAAAATGAATAAACGAGTAAAAGTAAAATCGGCGGGGAAAATTTATATCGGCCAAGGGACAAATGACTCTCGCCAGTTAGTTAAATTATCACAGTTAGCTTCACACGTAATAATTTCGATAATAGGGACTCGTTGCGTAACCTCAAACGGAAAGCGGAAAATTTTAATAACATGGATCGAGGCACGAACCCTTCCAACTCGACGATCCTCGAGCGTTTCGCGATCGTTGATTAAAAAGAAATCGGGAGAGAGCCAAAGAGAGAGAGAGAGAGAGAGAGAGAGAGAGAGAGAGAGAGAGAGAGAGAGAGGGATTTAAAACTTCCACGGTAAGAAATTCCTCGCTTCCCCCTACCTTTCCTCCGAATCAATCTCGTGATCGTCCGATACCAGTTGGAGCATGCCTTCCTCGAGGCCGAGGGCGAACGATGAGAGCTCGGTGACGGCGCGTTGCCGCGCGTTGCCGTCCGTTTGCCCCCACCACCCGGCCAGCAACGTGTACCTAAGGATAAAACCTACCCTCGACCCGCCGAGGGTAGCCGCCGACCCTGCCGAGGAGACGTACGCGTTGCCCGACTCGACCACTCTCCACGTAAGGAGGGGGGAGAACGCGGAGAAGAGGTACTCGTTCACGAGGATATTCGACGGGGAGACGAAGCAGGCCGATTTCTTTTACGAGAGCGTGCGTAGGCAGGTGATCCACCTGCTTCTGGGCGAGAGTTCGACGGTGATCGCTTACGGGGCGTCAAACACCGGCAAGACGTACACTCTGTACGGGACCCCGGAGGAGCCTGGCGCCATACCCCGCTCGATCGAGCTGTTGTTCTCGGCCGTCGACTGCACCCTCGCCCCGTGGTACAAGATCGCGGACGACAACACGGTGGTAGCGTTGGACGAGCCAGAGCGCGCCCTCGAGATATCGAACAGAACCAGCCTGATAAATCGGAACGTGATGGCCAAGGAGGAGTACACGCAGGCCCGGTTGTCCCTCGACAACTCGAACCCCCGCCTCGCCGAGACCGAGGAGAGGGATCTGTGGAGCGACGGGTGCATCTCCTCCGTGTGGATCTCGGTCGCCGAGATCTACAACGACAACGTGTACGATCTTCTGATCGGCCACGAGCAGGAGAGAAGGCCGCTCAAGGTGACGACGCGAAGGGACGGGTCGACGTTCCCCAACGGCTTGAAATTCGTCCACGTGGCGACCGCCCTCGAGGCATGCCAATTACTCATCCTCGTCCAGTCGAGGATGACGGTCGCCGCCCCTACCGCCGAGTCGTCCAACCCGTCCCAATCCCACACCTTCTTCACCCTCAAGTTGCTCAAGTACGAGAAGGAGAACAGGCCGGACACGGTGCGGGTTAGCACGCTGACGTTCTGCGACGTGGCCGGGTCGAGGCGCGTGAAGAGCAGGGACGAGGCGGGTGGCTGCCGCTCGGCTGCCGAGTCCCGCAACATAAACAACAGCTTGCTGGTGCTTGGAAGGTGTTTGAAGACGTTGCGGGACAGTTACTCGTCCGGCGACCACGTGGCGGGCCCGTTCCGCGAGTCCAAGCTGACCAGGATACTTCAGAAGGTGTTGACGGGTAGGGAGAAGTCGAGCTTCGTGGTGACCGTAGACATCGGGATGGACGCGTTCGCCGAAACGTCGAGCGTTCTCAATTTCTCGGCGATGGCCAAGAGGCTGGGCGAGTCGAGGTTGTTGAGGAGGACAGCGTTCTCGGTAACCACCCCCCGAAAATCGTCCCCTCTGCCGTTGCCCGCTCTCGGCCACCACCAACAGGCCACCAAGAGGACGATCGCGATCGACTCGGAGGTGTACGAGCGGCTGAGGAGGGAGAACGAGAGGTTGAGGGAGGAGGCGGAGCTGTGGAGGCGCGGCAGGGAGGAAGGGGTCTCGAGGCACACGCAATCGGACGTCTCTTGCCTCGATTACGACCGGTTGGGGGAGAGGAACAGGGTGTTGGCGGAGCGGGTGCACGCGTTGGAGGAAGGGAATTTGAATCGGGAGTACGAGATAAGGCAGGAATTGGTGGATCGTTACTCGGTCGCGATCGAGCGTTTGGAGTCGTGTTGGAGGAAGCGCGTGCAGGACGTCGAGGACGAGGGGAGGGATCTGTTGAATTGGTCGGTGAGCCAGGTGGAGTCGTTCTACAAGGAGCGGATCGACAGTTTGATGCGCCGCGGACGGGCAGGCGACGAGGGGGGGGGGGAGGAGAGCGGCGGGAGCAAGAAACGAAAGAGGGAGGAGGGGGAGGAAGACAGGGGTATGCGGAGGATATGCGAGGATCTGGAGACGGAGAACGCTATGATCACGTCGAAGGTGGTCGTTCTGAGGGGGATGGTGCGCGATCTGAGAAGGGAGAACGAGTTGTTGGTAACGGGCAGGAACAAGTGCAGCTTCGAGTTGGCGTTGACCAAGGAGAAGTTGAAAGGTTTCCACGACCTGATACGCGCCCATTTCCCCGAGTTGTTCGCGAAGATTGGTGACGAAGAGGGCGACATCGGTTGCCTCGTGTACGAGTTGAAGCGTATGCTGGACGAGAAGACGGAGGACATCGAGTCGTTGGAGAACAACCTGAGCCGGGCCTCGGAGGATTACGTGAAGATGGTGACGAAGACGATCGACGCGGAGAAGGAGTTGCGCGAGACGAGGAGCAGGCTGCAAGAGGTGTTGTCGAGGGCGAAAGATTTCGAGAACGAGGTGAAAGAGAAGACGGACCTCGCCAACGAGTTGCAACTCCAGTTGCAGTTGTTGAGGAAGGAATTGGTCGAGATACGGGAATGTGAGAGCGGTTACGTTGTTACTAGTTTGAAATCTGTCGAGAAAGGGGGACCCCCGCGGCGTGATCTGACACGGAAATATGTTTACAGCGATGACCCGTTCTCGAGCGACAACAACAGCGAGAACAACGCGGAGCTAGCCGCGTGCCGAGAAGCGGGCGGAAAAGCGGATCGTTGCTCGTACGACGATTACGATTACGATAAAAAGAGGGTGTCGTTGAACGCTATGGAGTCGGATGTGTCGGATCGCCACACGTTCAGATCGAGCGACAGCGGTATAAAGGAGGATTCCGGGATCGATTGCACGAGTCGTAGATCGACCGGTGGCCACGATAATTCTATCCTCGTCGAAAGGGCGAGGGAAAACTCCACCCAGACCGACCCCCTCTTCCCCCAAACTGCCCCCAACGGCCACCGCGAAGGGAAACGCTCGAAAAACGCGGCGTCGAATCGCGAAGGAGGAGGAGGAGGAGGCGTCGAGTTGGAACGTTACGTCAAGGAGGAGGAGAACTACGACGTCGACGAGGACGAGGACGAGGACGAGGAAGAGGAAGAGGAAGAGGAAGAGGAAGAGGACGAGGACGAGGACGAGGACGAGGACGAGAACGAAGAGGAGGAGGAGGAGGAGGAGATCGTACGAGGAATATCGTACGGGAAGGAATTGTCGCATCGCGTGAACGACATGAGATCGGTGATAGACACGTTGAAACGGATCGCTGATGTGAATAAATCGGAGGTGTCGGAGTGCAAGAACAAATTGTTGTCGTGCGAGGCGAAAATGGCCGAGTTGGAAGAGGAGAACGAGAAACTGACGAGGATGGTCGAGATAGACTCGAGGAGATACAACGAGCGGATCAACGAGCTGACCGAGGAGCTGTTGGTCAAGGAGGAGGACGATAATCACAGTTTGAACAAGTTGGAGAATTGTTTGAAGAAGTGCGCCTATCTGGAGAATCAATTGGCCGTGCTCCATCTGGTTCACGAGAGGACGGTGAAATATTTCTCAAGAAGGCAGAAAGCGGAACACGCGGCCGAGATCGACGAGATCTTGGAGAAAGATATGGGGGGGGAGGGGAATTCGAGGGAGGGGGCGCGCCACGATCTGCTCAGGTTGCAACAATTGCGCGAGAGGATCGACGAGTTCGAAATCGTTTTGGAAAAGTGTAAAGAGGAGAGGAACAATTATCGCGCCCAGTTGCAGCAACAATTGGAGACGCAGTCGATTCTCGAGACGAAATTGAAGTGGTTGTCGACGGAAATTCGAAGCAGGGACGACGAGCTGATCTCTCTCAAGATGGAGATGGACGGTGTGGCGGTGGTGAACGACGAGAACGACGAGAAGGTGAAAAGTTTGGGGGAGGAAATCGGCCGATCGTGCGAGAACGTCCGCCGCGTGAGGGAGAGGTTGACCTATTTCGAGGAGACGAGGAAAAACTTGGAGGAGACGTTAGCGGATAACGTTCTCGATCCCCGAACGAGTTATCCGATTTTACGGGATTTCACGCGGGCGAAGAAGACGTATCGCGGGGAGGGTGAGAGCAACGAGGTGTGTGACGAGCTCTGCACGATAAAATTGCAGCTGCGGGAAAACGAACGGGAGATGATCTCGTTGAAGAAACATCGGAACGACATGGTGAAAAAGTACGAATGCACCGTGCAAAGGTTGCGGATCGAGATCGAAAGGATGAGGAAAAAGTTGATAAATTTGCAGAAACTACTTTTAACGAATTTCGCGTGGAGGTATAGGAAACTCTTGAACAGAAGGAACGAGAGATGTATTATTTTCCAATTGGAAAAATTGACCAGCTCGAACGATCGCGACTGGATATTGACGCGTATCAAGAAACGAGTAAGCGACGAGGAATTGCCGATCGTCGAACGATCGATCGCTAGCCCGCGCTACGCCGATTCCCAATCTTCCGTGAGAAACGAGGAATTCGATACTATCGGTGCATACGAGTCGGAGGAATCTTACCAAGTAAGTAGTACTTTCTCCCCCACTTCTCTCTCGAGAGATCGGAGAGATAGGATTTCAAGTTTTTATATCCTTCGAAAAAGAGACACTCGTCCTAGGTCTCGTACGTTCATGTTTACGAACGTACGTGTATACCGATAAGTGTGTGTATATTATTATAACCGTTCCTTCCTTGTCTTATACTCTACAGTTTTAAACGCTTCAGACAGAGAGCAGTTTGGGTTTGAACGAGTGGAACGTAGACGGGTGTCAGATCCAGAGCGACGCCTCTGACTGTTCCGAAGTACAGTGCAGTTGCGGTATCGGTTTTAAAAATGCTGGAAGGCACGGGAGGATGTCAGGTTGGATGAAAGTTCGAAGAAGCTGCGCGAATACTTGTCTCCTGCGTCAACTCGACGGAACTCGCGCCAGCGTCGAGCAAGGATGAATCGAGGAGGATTCACGATTTTTCAGGCAAATTTCGAAAATGTCTGTATAAATTTCTTTTCTTCCTCCTCGCTACGTTTACTTACATTTATACGTTGCTTCGTTCGTCCCATTGATCTTTTTTTCTTCTTCTTTCGCTTCTTTCGCTTCTTTCACTTCTTCCTCTTCCCCTTTTAACAGTTGGATCGTATTGTTTAAACGTGTAACAGGTTGAATAAAGGAAAGGAAAGGACTATGTTCTCTTTGATCCGCGCTAGCTAGGAATCGGACGGAAGGAAAGGAGAGAGAGAGAGAGAGAGAGAGACAGAGACAGAGAGCGTGAAACCGTAAGCGAGTTATCGACTGCTCGCTGTATTATCGGGTGGTATCGGTCGTTCCCCCGGGACGAGATCTCGTGTAATGGCAAAACGTGGTTCCAACGTTCGTTACAATAAGGCCATCCCTCCCCCCCCCTCCCTCCGAGCAGAAACCTGTTTAGTTGGCTCGTACAAGGGCGGACGCCCTGGCCCGGGGATTTTATTGGCAATATGCTATAATTTCCGACATTAGACGCCGCTGACGCTTTCTGCCTCTCATTATACCCCGGCTGCGTCTCTCCCTACATGCCATCTTTTCGCGACCTTGCGCGCGGATTCTGATATATGAAATTATGATTGGGGGAACTTTTGTATATATATATATATATATATATATATATATACAAACACGCTCGACCTTTCTCCTCGGCATTATCGGCATAATATCGCTCGTGATGGGAGAGATTCGATAAACGAAACGAAATACGTCGTATCGTTACTTATCGGTCGCTCAGGGAGGGGGAGGGAATTACCGATTCGAGCAAGCCTTTTTTTCCTTTTTCTTTCTATTCTTTTCTTTTCTATTCTCTTGCCTTTTATCTTGCCCGTGTTACTCGTTTGCTCGTGTATACGCGTGTATACACGTCGCATTTGCATTTATAATTACGCGCGAAACGATCTCTTCGATTTCTTCTTTTCTTATCGCCGATCCCACCCCACGCTAAACGTACCGCAAAACTTTACCGTTTCAATTGGCAATAAGGTTTGATCGTCACGGGAAATATCATCCAATTTCCTCTCTCTGCCGGCTGCTTCGTCGTCGCTACCCCCTCAACCGTATTATCAGCTATCCCACCACCAGCCAATTTCGCGTCTGTTTTTCGTTACAGAGAGAGAGAGAGAGAGAGATGTATATATATATACCTCTTTTTTTCTTTCCTCTTTCTTTCTTTCTTTTTCTCGTTCGACAAAATTTTAACAGTGCTTTTCTTTCGTCCACCGTGTATATTATCGCTCTTCTTCTTCTTTTTCTTCTTCTTCTTCCTCTTCTTCTTCTTCTTCTTTTTTTACTTGGAACAAAGTGATGAGAGTTATCGAAAACGAAAATTCAGTGGAAAGAGTCGGTTCTGTCGGGGGGAAAAAGAAAGAAAAAAAAAAAAAAAGAAGAAAGTTTGTAATTGTTGTTCGTATTTTGTAACGCATTTAATATAATAGAGAAAACTATTGCACCTGTTTAAGCGCATTGTTAGATTCGAAAATTTAACAATAAAAATTGATGATAATTGAATGATGATTTCGATTAATCGCGGAAGCTCACGAAACGGCGTTCGATCGACGAAGGAGGAGGGTGGAGGGGGCAATTGGCGAGAAGGGGAGAAAGTTTGCTCAAGACGTTAGTTTATAATTCGGCAATCCGGGATCAGTATTTGTCACGATTAGCCGATCCTCCCTCATCTCCCTCTCGTCTCCAACGTTTCATCCCCCCTTCTTCTCCCCCAAGCGCGAGTTTTCATTAATTCCGCCAATCCTGCCCAACTATTGTCGTAGTTACGCACAATTTCGACGCAACAATGCCCTACTCCCTTCCTTCCTTCTTCGAGATTGACACTAAAGGGGTGAAACTAGGAAGGAAATGGAAGGCAACGCGCAAGGAGTTACAACGAGAATATATTTCCAGAGTTCGTCGAACCGTTTAATCGGATATCTTCTCTTTCCATCCGATGATCGATCATTTTCATCATTCTCCTTTCCTCCGAATTAAAATTTAACGACGAATGCGTTCTTGAATTCTTCAAAACAGACGCGATTCCCCGTAATGGGTCTGAACAGACATGGAAGTCATCTTCGTCGTGCTGCTCCATTTACCAATTTCGAAAGAACGTCCCTCCGGGTGAATATAAGATTCTAGGAAAATCGTCAAAGCCATAATACTAATAAATTATTGAAATTCAAAAATTTTTTAACACTTTCACAAAACTAATAAACACTTTGTGCGATAAACAAAAGAATAAATAATTTCGTGCCCACCCTTATTATTATAGAGAAAGCTGGGTCAAATCATTACGACTTTTCATTAGCTTCGACAAGTTTCCACGATTCCGTAATTCTAAGAAGAAATCTCTTTGGTTTTTTTACGCGTCGAAATTTGGGGAAACTGGCGGATTCGTATTAACCCCGCGAGAATCGACGTGACTCGATAAAGTTACTCTCTCTCTCTGGAAGAAAGAGGACGAGGAGGCCATCTTCGTGGACGAGTTTCGGGTGTATCGAGTTAACGAGGCTACGGGTTTCTAATGGCCCGGGGCTACTTATTTCGCATATCAGGCGCTAGCCAGGCCACGTAACGTTCCTATAGCGAGGGGGCGCAAGGCCAGCCAACACCTCAAGGCAAAACCGTCCGCGTATAAAAACGTGAAATATCATGGGGCATTTTCTTATCGCTGGCCGGGCCATATGTAAAAACGAATAAAATTGTGGTAAGTTGCGTCGAGGGAGAGCGGCGGTCGCTTCGGGCCACCGGACCAAATCTGATGCGTTTTGTTTTCGGTGAATAAATTTAGACATAAATCGTATCCCAACCCCCCCCCCCTCTTTTACCGATCCAATATCTCCTTCCCCTCCCTTGAAAAGAGAAGAAGAGAGGAGGGAAAAGTTTCGAAGCCTGTTGATAAAAAATTCCTTTTTTCGGGATGCACGGCCTCGATGAAAGTTTGCAACCGTTGCTCGTTGCTTGGAATCGAGCGGATTATGAAGCCCGGATAAATCGTGATTGCGTAATATCGCGCGAGCAGAATTGCGTAAAGGCAAATATGCAATAGCGGAATACGTATTGTACGATTGTCTCCCGTTTCCCACGAAATATGCCTGCCTTGCGTTTCCCGCCATTGTAACCAACCCCGTCCCGCATATATTGCCCCCGGCCGCCCCCCCCCACACTTTCCAATTGCATTTGCCTATCCGTTCTTCTTCTTCTTCTTCTTCTTCCCCTCCCTTTCCTCGACGAAGAGGAAGCGAAGGAAGAAATGGAATGGAAGAAGAGTTTATCGATCCGTCGAGGTTTTTAAAGTTGTACACGGTGTATAATAAAGGTGTATGTAGGAGAGAAGAGAGAGAGAGAGAGGGAGAGAGGAAATTGGTGTGTGGCGCGCGTGTAACAAGACGGGACGGTGGGAGGTTCGAGTGGCTATTGAGATGATGCTCGATTCTCGAGCAACCCTGACAGGAGAGGAGAGCGTACCTCTACCAGATATCGGAGGCAATGAGGCGGGCTACTTTTAACAAGACGACTTCTCTCCACTTCACCGATCCCTCCCCATCCTTCTCGATACCAAACGATGCGCTCGCTGTTGTTACGGAATCCCATAAAAATTACGAGCACCGCGACGAATCCCATTGATCCTGACCCCCTAACGAACCGTCGCTCCGTTCCCCCGCCGCGAATCGCCTTTTTTGCGGATGAATCTTTTCTCCGATCGAGAGCCCTCTTAAACGTACGTACGTGCGTGCGTGCGTACGCATTTTCCCCGAGTCGCCCGATTTCGCATTCGTTGCATTCGCGAGAGAATTATATTAATTCAAATCTATTGATTTTGACTCACTTTGGCGAAAGTTTTAAAGATATTATTTATGATTATTATATTATGGAGGCGAGGAGAGAAATATTCGCGTCACGACGCGATGATTCGTCGAAATTTATTCGTCGAAATGTGCCGCGCAATTAGGCAAATAAGCAGTCTAACTTGGAGACTAAGGTAGTGGGAGAGTGGATGGACGGGAAGGGTGTAACGACAAATAATCTCCTCCCTCTCTCTCTCTCTCTCTCTCTTCCTTCTCCGTTTCCACTCGTTCGCCGTTTCGTTTCATTTGTTCGCTCCCCCTTTCCCCGCATTCCGCATCGAACAGCAGCCCTCTAATTTGCTTCTACGAACGTGTCTCGCTTTTGATCCCGCTCTTCTCGTATTGATACCCTAACTTTGCATTAATCGGCATTGCTCCTTCGGAAAAAGAGGGGGAAGAAAAGGAAATTTCGCTTCTCGAAAGTGGAACGTCGTCCAAAGATTTCCCGAAACGCTCTGCGGACCCTCTTCGTAATGCGCTTTTTTGCCGGCAGCGAGAGTCAACCGTCAAGCGTCTCTCTGTGGAAGGGAGAGCAAGAAAAAGATGAAGGAAGGATATAAATAAGAGAAATAAGAAAATGAGAAGAAGAAGAAGAAGAGGAGGAGGAGGAGCGCGTCGGCGCTTTTGCAAGCGATCGTAAGATCGTGCACCGCGCGTTTTTTACGTTGACCACCAAGGAGAGAAGGTCTTGAAAATTCGAGAAAAAGAAAAAAAAAAAAAAATTCGCAACGAAGGAAGAATTCACGATTTGTTTTTCCACTTTCTCTCTTTTATTTTTTCGAATCGTGGTAGGCGAAATTTCGCGACTCGAAATGAAGGATTTACGGGATGTGTGTTGTATCCCATCCCCTTCCCTATGGATGGAATAAACCGTGACGATGAAGTGCGGCATGAAGTGGAGTCGTATCGGTAGATTTGTTTCGTGTCACTTGCCAGGTGTATGGCAGAGGTGTAGGGAGGGGAGAGTGGAGTGGAAAGCTTCCCTATCCCCCCCCCCTATCATCGGCAGTTTCACGTACACGCGCCGATGGATCCTTTTTTGGCGCCTCCCTCCCTCGGCGAGGGGAGAAAAAGGGGGGATGGAAAC